GAAGGGAAACTACTTAGATTCAAGCATTGTTAACAGATATAATCTGGCTTTTTTAGAATTAATGGGGAAAAAGAGATCCCAAGTACAGAGTCACAATCAATGTGTACAAGAAAGAACTAGTGAAAAGTATTTTTTTTTTCTTTTTTCTTTTTTTAAAAATATCTAAAAGCCTCATGGAATTAGGGGCTTGAAAAAAGCATTTTCATTTTTAAATATTTATTTCTTAGTTGTAGTTGGATTCAATACCTTTATTTTATTCATTTATATTTTTATGTACGTGAATACTGCTCAATGAACAATCTGTTAAGAAGGAATGCTGAGGATCGAATCCAGGGCCTCTCATGTGCTAGGTGAGCGCTCTACCACTGAGCCACAACCCCAGCCCTGAAAAAGTATTTTTAAATCAAGTGTTTTTAATACAAATCACTGTGACATTTGGTGGTATTCTTTGGTTCAATCAAACCTCTCTTTTCCTGAGTTACTGTTATCCTAATCCTCCTTATGAAAACCAAATCCTTGCGGTGACTTACAAAGTCCCGTCCAATCTGGCTCTCTCAAGACTTCATCTATCATCTCTCCAATCAGGCCTTCCCTTACACACACTATGAAAAATGCAAACTCCCCAGACCCAAAACACTCTATACTTCTTCCTCACTTAATTTTCTTCCTCCATCCATTTATCAACATCGAACATACCAATGCTTCATTTATTTATTTTGTTTAATCTGTCTGTTCTTCCAAGAATATAAGCTCCATAGGGAAAGGCTTTGGGCCTGTTTGTGTGAATCCTCAGTGCTTATAGAAGGGCCCTGTAATATTGCATCTGCTCAGTATTGTCAGCCAAACAATGTTATTTTGGTCTATATTTTGTCAGATAATCACTACCTTCCTTTAGGAATGTATGGCTCAGCATTTTATGATTTTTATTTTGAGCACAGAAACTTTGTAAAGTTATTGCTTGGTTTTTCAGATACTATTGGTTAAACTGAGGATTGTCTCAGAAGCACTCTCAATCTGGGAAGACCTCTGCTAGAAAGAAGATATTGTTGCTTCTCCAATTCTCCCTATATGCTTCCAGTCTCTAACTTTTCTGATTCTTTGAGTACACTACTAGAGACCTACAGACTAACAATGTCCACCCTAACCCTAACCCTCACCCAATTCTATAGACTGGCACATATCTCATGTTTTCTTTCAGTGCCATAGACTTAATTGAATTTGTCTGACCATCTTAGGTTTTGGGAGGAGTAGGCACACACAAAAGTAGGCTGTAGGCCCTGGGGACATTCACCTGCACTTATTTGTCTGGGTGCCCATACTTATTATAAAGACCATGCAAAACAAAGCATTTCCACTTATAGTCTGCTTAATTGTAGGTATATAACTATTTCTTTCTACATGCACCAATTGCCTAACTGCAGAATTTAAGAATAGTATTTATTTATAGCTAATGAAGCCTGCATAGATGGAGATAGTGGATAGTGCCTGTCTAGTGGAATTCAAGTCATATTTAATATTCTTGAATATTAAAGATATTGAGATATCTCAATTTTTCATATCTCTGGTTATATACATAGTATACTCACACCAATTCGTGTTCTCATACATGTACTTTGGATAATAATGATCATCACATTCTACCATCATTAATTATCCCATGTTCCCTCCCTTGCCCTCCCACCCTTCTGCCCTATCTATTCCTCCTATGCTCTCCCTCCCTATCCCACTCTGAATCAGCTTCCTTATATCAAACAAAACATTCGGCATTTGTTTTTTTGGGATTGGCTAACTTCACTTAGCATTATCTTCTCTAATTCCATCTATTTACTTGCAAATGCCATGAATTTATTCTCTTTTATTGATGTGCAACTCTAAATTCTAAGGTATATTTGACTCTTCTTTTATCCACATTATGGCCAAGATGTGACTATACTAATCACCATGTTTAAAAATCACAGGGTGAAAGACAAATAGGCAGGTCATCTAATAGATCTTTCAGCTAAATAGGTATCTAAACCATGCAGAGTTTTTTCCCTAAGACTTCTAGAGAAGATACACAATAATTTTCTCTACATACATATTATTTGAAAATCAGAGATGAGGTTTTTTTTTTTTTTAAAGATTACCCCATAATTCAATTTAAAATCATTTAAGAGATTGGTATTTCCTTAGAATACAGCAGCATTTTGCAATTTTGCTTCTTGAAAGTAGACTTAAGAATAAAAGGCAGAAAGTGAAGGAGCAGGGCTGAAAAAATCAGAGAGTGGGAATCAAGAAGAAATGTAAAAAGAATTCAAGTTTTGTTACTCCTTCATTTTTTTTTTTTATTTCTAAGGAAATTAAAATGAATCTTTCCACCAGGCCTTCATCATTTAATATTAAGTACAGACTTAAGAATGATTAAGAGATGCATGGTTCAATACAGGATAACTATAGAAAAAAACAAGTCTAGTTCTTTAAAAATTAGATATGTTCACTTTTAGTAATTTTAATAATGATAAAAATAATAAAAATATATGATAAAAATGATAAAAAATGCCCACATTTCTGCCACATCTAGTGCTTTTCAGACTGTCAAAAATTTCTTGAGTAACTTTCCACAAAGAAAATTTAATTCAACCTCCTGCATAAATAATTGGGGGTGTGGAGAGGTGTACATGTAAATTTTTATTCCAAAAGGAAAACATCATATTTCCTATATGAAGCTTTACTTTATCATTAAAACATTTTGAAGATTTTTTTATGTGCTTAGAGTTATGCAAACTCCATGACAAGGGAACCTTGTCTTTCTAAGCACTGTATCTATAATGCCTAGATCAAAAGCTCTTGTGTTTTTTTTTTTTTTTTTCTACAACAAAATTTCTTAAGGAAATAAATAAATAAATCAGAAAATTAATTAAAATTAATAAAAATCAATATAGATTAATTCATTCTTTTGACCCAAAGTATAATATACATTTTAAAAAAAATACCAGAAGTATCTATTCAGTTACTGGTAAACATTTAGAATGTTCTCCTTTATAGTCAACATTCTTGAAAATATCTGTTAAATCTTAACCAAATGTAGCTAAGTGAATGTAAGGTAGTTACTTAACAAAGAGTCCAGTCAATTGCATTTCTAAATCTGAGAAATATTGCCAAATGACACTCCTAACAGGTTGCATCAATTTACACTTTCTTTACCATACAACTTTTACTCTGGAGCAACTCACAAACCCTGAATGTTGGTAACAAAAACACACATTCCTATAAACTACACATTCTTCTATCTATGGCTTTTTAATGGAAGCTGTGGCAGATGAGATCTCAAAAAAACTAAAATTCCTTTTGACTTTGCTGAGCACTGGGGACATCATTTTTCTCAAAGACGAAGTATTTGTTCTTACAGACCACAGTGTTTTGGAACTTGGCCAAAATTCATGGCTAACTGCTTCCTTTGTATATTAGAATAATAAAATATAGTTCTATCACAGCTTTTTTGTAAAAAGTTCAATTATTGCATTTTTTTCAAATACAAATTACGATTTAGAGCATGCAGTTAATATTGAGAAAGTGTTTAAACAACGGATACAGGTAGCAGTCCTGTAGAAGTGCTTGAAATTCTATCTGGGTCTCCCAAGGATTCCACTGCCTATTGACATTAAAATAAGAAAAGTAACCTATATGTAGAAAGAAGGTTGTATTCCCATTAACATTCATGAGGACTGAGCAGCTGAAGCCCTACACATCAAGTAGGGAATATGTCCTTTGTCTACTGATGAGAAAATGTCTCAGTGATAAATGGTTACAGACAGGGTGTCAAGAGGGCAACAGCACACAGAACAGCTTCAACAAACTTTTTTTTAAAAGTCTTCTTCTGAAGCTTTTTGTAGTATTGTGGAGCGTAGTGCCTATCATCTCAAAATAAAGGCTAATACTGCAATACAGAATTCCTAACCTTTGCTGAAACACATCCTAGAAAACCAAAAACATACCGTTTGAAAATAATTTAAAACAAGGTTTCAACAGCTTCAGGAGGTATTCAGAAGTTCTGAAAAGGAATGTAGCCAGCATAGTGGCTATTTCTGTCTAAAATGGATATTGTAATGAGTTAGCATGGTAGTCAAAGTGCACCCTCTGTAGTGTCAGCACTGGGAAAAATCAGACTCTAGAATGGTTTTACATTCATTTACATAAATTTAAACATGTTTTTCTCGTTTAGTAAGTTTATGAGAAATATCATACATGAAGACACCAATTTCTTATTTAACGAATAATATTGCACAGAATCCAACATTAAATACCAATGACTTCCAGTTAATTTTTAAGCCGAAATAAGTTAGGTTACAAGTTGTTGACACGCTTGTCTCATAGAGCCTGAGAAAGAGGCCACAGGGCAAACACTTCCTGTGGCCTGGCTCTAGGTGGCTCACTTTCCTCACCTATAGCCACTATGGACGCTCTAACCCCAGTTCGCCAGTATTTTGTCTCTTCTGCAGATTTTAGCATGAAGAGAGGTATAAGCATAGTGCAATTTTCTAAAACAGGGCTGTCAACACTGGGCATTTGCAGTGTTCCTCCCCTAAAGAAAACTCCAGATACAGGGTAAGAAGAAATGTACAGTAGCTCCCAGACAGATTCTCAGCACTACTCTCCTTGGGGACAGTCTTGGGCAGCGCTGTGTGGACAGTGCACACAGGCGCAAGCAGCAGGTCGTCGGACGTCTAGAGTCGACGCGCGAACTTGGAAGGACTAAGCTATTCCACTAGGGAAGAGGAGGCGGGGCCTAAATGGAGAGGCGGGGCAGGGCTGGAAACAGAGCCCCTCCCCGGGCCCCAGGCTGGCAGGCGCCTGCGTGCTGGGCGTGGGCCTGTGGTTGGACGCCTATGGTTCTGGGCTCGCGGTTGCTCCTCAGTCCTACGCTTCCTCCCCCGCCCCTTCCCACCTCCGCCCACTTGACGCGATGACGCATCGCAGGTTTGCGGACGTGGCGGCGGCGCACGGTCGGGAAGGCGGAGACGTTGGCGGCAGCTGCGTCGGTGGCGGCCCCGTTGGGGGACCTGAACTGAGATACTTAGGCTCGGTCATGAACTTGCCCGGGACAGGAGCGGTGGCGGCGGACCTGGCATCCGTCTCTTCACTGCGTCCCCCTTGCTAACGGGACAGGTAAATATGGCGGCGAAGTGTGTGTGTGGGGTCCTGGGTTTGGCAGCGGTGTTGGACTTCAGCTGAGTCCTCCCTGGAGTCCTCGCGGAGCTCGGCCGCAGGTGTGGTGGGGCGGCGGCCTGGGGCTCGGACCTGGTTTCGCTTGGAGGACATCCCCGAGGCAGGGAACATCTTTGATGCCAGTTCCGCCACAGTGCCTGTCAAACTATCGAGGAAACCGAGGCTCCGAGGAAGGGCTTCTATCTGCCCGATTTCCGGGGCAGCGCTTTTTCCACCCAAACACAGTATTTCCCCCTCAACTTTGCGTTGGCGTTGATTATTAGCTGATGGCATCTCGTCCACATCATCCAGTGTGACGTTGTGACAGAAAAAATCTGCCGTTTAGTCTTTGTTAGGGATGACAGGGAAAGAAAAAAAAAAAAAAGTGTGCGGGAAATTAAGTCTTTAAAAACAAATTTTCCCCTGGTGGACACAATCCTGTGATTCTGTCCCAGTGCTGAACTAGTGTATGGTGTTTCTTTTATTGCTTCCCTCTTAGGAAAGTCAAAGCGAAACACCAGCAGCAGTTTTTATATATAGTATGACGGTATTTGGGAAACCATTTGCAGTGGTAGACCGAACTGATGAAAGCTTTTAACACTGTATCCACTGGTAATTATTTTTTTTCCCCTGGCCTCTCGTAATCTGTGTAGCATGAAGGCTTGCTCCAGATTTCCTAAAATGTACTTCATGCCTTTTTCCTGCCCTAATAGAATTTTGAGAGGGGCGAAGAATCGAGCCAGAAGACTTGGATACTTTGTACTTTATAACCTCTAAGTAGTTTGTTCAGGTAATTATCTTCCTGGGCAAAGTCTTTTTACTTCCTTTGGAGGCACAAGCAATTCTTTGGTAATTCAAACACGAATACCCAGTTTGTGTTATATTCTCTGCCTGCATTTTGTTGCAAAGGAGAGTAGAAAGAGAATCCAGACTAGTCTTTTAAATAAAGCAATATATTATGGAGAGATATTGATATAAATATCCAAAGTGTCTAGTAGGTATTGCTTAGTGACTTTCAGTTAGTTGTACTAAGCTATGAAGTTTTAAAAATAAGATTTTAGGGAGAAAAAGTCTAAAGGGACACAATAATCAGGTCATTATAGCCTCATGTATAAATTGCGGTTTATTAAGTGATACTCAACTCTTTTGATCATGGATGCCTTTTGAGAATATGAAACAGTATTCTCCCCAGAAAATGCACATGAATAAAATTTGCCTATGAGTCTACAGGACTCACACATATACCCTTGATTAAAGATACAAGATAAAAAAGACTTGGTTACATAAATGGAAATAAAGTTTTTATCTTTGTAGGAATATGTGTAATCATGACTTCAAAACTGCTGAGATGTGAAATGTGGGTAGATTGCCTTAGTTTGGTGGCTGTCAAGTTAGAGATCCTAGTTCTTGGTAATAAATAAGGTAGAACCTCTGAGAACAATTGAAACAATCTATTTAATACATAGCTGTGGTTACTATATGATCTGAATAGAAAACCTTAATTTTTTAAAGCATTACAATGGGTTGGAAACCAAATTTTAAGGATTGGATTCAAGTATGAAATAGCTTCAAAACATAAGGATGTGCCTGCCTACCTAGAGAATGTAATCTATTGTCATCATTTTACAAATTCAGACTTTTGGAGTTGTGTTTTTCTGATTTTTTTTTCCTTTCCCTCTTGGTACTCATTCATAGTGTTCAAAACATAACAATCCTTTGTCTAAACATCATTTGTCCTCCTTGGCTTCCATGGCATTACAATTCCTTTTCCTCTGGACATTTCTTTTTTCATCTTTTATGGCAGAACTTCACCAAGGTACTAAATCTTGGGCTTCTTTTTTTCAGGGTAAGGAGCCAGAGTTATTACAAAAACAAACAAACAAACAAAAAACTACCTCTCTACCCACCATTTGTATATTAATGAATTTTTGTGTTATAGTCTCATTATTAGGCTCCTTGAAGTTCCAAGGGACCCACTAATTTATTTTTCTTCTTTTTTCCAATTAATTTATTTATTTTAATTAAGTATATATGACAGCAGAATGCATTTTAATTCATTGTACACAATTGCAGCACAACTTTTCATTTCTTATGGTGTAGCATTACAACATATGTGCAGTCATACATGTACCTAGGGTAATGATGTCCATCTTATTCCACCATCTTTCCTGCCCCCATATACCCTCCCAACCCTCCCTCCTCTTTGCCCAATCAAAGTTCCTCCATTTTTCCCATGCCTCCCTCCTCCCTATTATGGATCAGCATCCATTTATCAGAGAGAATCTTTGGCCTTTGGTTGGGGATTGAGTTACTTCACTTAGCATAATATTCTCCAACTCAATCCATTTACCCACAAATGCCATAATTGTATTCTCTTTTAAGGCTATTGTGTATATATACTACAGTTTCTTTATCCATTCATCTATTGAAGGGCATCTAGGTTGCTTGCACAGTTTAGCTATTGTGAATTTAGCTGCTGTGAGCATTGATGTGTGTGGCTGCATTACTATAGAATGCTTATTTTAAGTCCTTTGGGTATAGACCTAGGAGTGGGATAGCTGGGTCAAATGGTGGTTCCATTCCAAGGTTTTTAAGGAATCTCCATACTGCTTTCCAGATTCGTTGCACCAATTTGCAGTCCCACCAGCAATGTATGAGTGTGCCTTTTTCCCCACACCCTCACCTGAATGTTGGGTTTCTTTAAGGTTCAGTACTGGGCCCTCTTTTCTTACTCTGAATTCTGTAGGTGATCTCATCTATTTCAGTTTCACTTATGTGCAGATTAGTCATAAAATGATAACCTAGGCCTTTCCTCTAACTATATAGCTCACTGTCAGAGATATTGAATATAGTCATGCCCCCACTCCTAGCTCTTCCAGATATCTATAACTTAGGGAATGGCACCACAGTTTATTCACTTCTGCAAATCAATAATCTTGGCGTGATCTTTAACTTCTCTTTTCGAATCTGAGCCACATTGAAGCTTGAAGTATTTATCTCCTAAATTCCTCTCAACTGCCTCTCTCCACCTTTCAAAACAATATCTGAAAGCAGTCTATCCTTTTTTATGTGAATAAGTAAAACAAAGCCAAAACAATGTGGAATTAGTTTTTTAGGTTCTTGTGTTTATTTTGAATGAGAATTGTTCAACTTGATGAATGTGTGTTGGGAGTGAGTATGCAAGTAAACAAAAAATATTAATTGGTAGATGTTTTTAATTTATATCAATTCTCAGTCATAGTCATAGAGTGCTTTTTCTAAATTACAAATAAAAATCACAGCTAAAATCTGTTCAGTCTTGGGCTGGGGTTGTGGTTCAGTGGCAGAGCGCTCACCTAGCATGTGTGAAGCACTGGGTCTGATCCTTAGCATCACCTAAAAATTAATAAATAAAGGTATTATGTCAATCTACAACTAAAAAAATACACTTAAAAAATCTGTTCAGTCTTTATGTACCATAAATTCAATTTGATGAGTACTCTAAATTAAATTGGGTGAAGAGTTTTCAGGGGAAGAAAATCCCTGGTCAAAGAGAAAATTCATGGTCTATATAGAAGGCAAATGCTGTACTAAATATAAATTCTGAAGTTAACATCTTCCAGAGAGTGATAGGTGTAAATATATTTCAATCTCATGTGAACTTAAAATACACAAGCCAGAAAGTTTTGAATTCGTCACAGTTTGTATATGTATGTATAAACATACTTTGATTCCATCAGAACTATAGTTGTAAATTTAGCCACAAATTTTTAAGACGTATATAAAATAATTTGCACAATTTTCTTCCCATAGTCAGAAGAAGAGTAACTTAATTTTTTTTGACCAAAAAGAAAAAAAAAAAAAAACTGTAGCATTTGCCTTGTTAAAATATAATTACCCCTATATGTTTTATGATAAATGGTCCATTGGATTATTGTCTCCACCTCCAAATATGTTTGTTGTACTTCAACAATTATAAAACTTGAGTTTTAAGTTTTTAAATAACTAAAACCATTATTTAAGAAATTTTTTAAAAAGTGTAATGTTAAGACTAATGTAAATACATCAAATTGATCAGCTACATTCCAAACTTTTCTGTTTTTTTTACCCCCCCTTCCAGATTTTGACAGTATGGCAGGGAGGCATCAGAATCGTAGTTTTCCTCTCACAGGAGTTCAGTCAAGTGGTCAAGTACATGCTTTTGGAAATTGTACAGACACTGATATGTTGGAAGATGAAGCTGAAGTCTATGAGCTTCGATCCAGAGGAAAAGAGAAAGTCCGAAGAAGTACATCAAGAGATAGGCTTGATGACATTATTATACTAACAAAAGATATCCAGGAAGGGGATACTTTAAATGCAATAGCCCTTCAGTACTGTTGTACGGTAAGTTTTAATTTAATTTCACATAATGCAGTTCAGAATAAACTTATTTGTTCATTATTCTAACCTACTTGAAATAAATTCTGTGTCCTTTTGTTTCTTCACCCCTATTTTGCTTTTTTTTTTTCTGGTCTTTTTTGCACAGAATCCTGTATCATGTCTGTGGATGAATATAACTAATATTGTTTCTTTCTATACTTTTGTGCTTGAAATACTGTGTGTGTGTGTGTGTGTGTGTGTATTTGAAGGTTGATTATTTTTGTTTTCAAGATTGGTGATATTGGGCTGGGGATGTGGCTCAAGCGGTAGCGCGCTTGCCTGGCATGCGTGCGGCCCGGGTTCGATCCTCAGCACCACATACAAACAAAAGATGTTGTGTCCGCCGAAAACTGAAAAATAAATATTGAAATTCTCTCTCACTCTCTCCCTCTCTCTCTTTAAAAAAAAAAAAAAAGATTGGTAATATTATGCATATTACTTTACAACTTGTGTTTTCATTTCTTAGTATTTGATGAATATCCCTCATGATCATCCCTCATAGTCTTAGTTCTAACTCATTATTTGAATACTTATATAATGTTCATAGTATTAGTAAGATATCTTCTACTCATGAATAGTGAGAATTTTCTTGGTGTTTTACATTGTGCACTATCACCATTCTTTAAAAGATAGTACCTTTTGGGGATAGGTTCCTAATAAAATGAAAGACATTCTTAATTTCAATAGATAAACTCTATTTGAACCCATTTTAAATCTGTGTTATCTCCATTTTGGGCCTTTAGCATAACATGTTTTTATGTTAATACATTGATAAAGAAACTGGTTAGAACATTGATTTTCTAATTTTTTGTTGTCATACTCCCAATGGAATAGAATCTGAAACGTATCTAATATGTACCTCCTTGCATATTTTTAAGTAAATGTTTTAATTCCACCTAATAATTTAAAGTAGTTACAAAATAATGTAATTCCAAGTGTTGTCAATATTGATGTTAAAAAATACAATAATTAGAAAACTTCTTAAATGTGTCCATAGAATTCTAAATATTATCAGGATTTGCTATCTGAAATCTTCATTTAAAAAAGATATATATATATATATATATATATATATATATATATATATGTGTGTGTGTGTGTGTGTGTGTGTGTATATATATATATACACACACTCATATATATACATATATATGTATATTTTATATATATTTATATGTATATACATATATACATACACACATGAGAGCTGTTTTTTAGTAGTGTGAAATTCTTTTATTTTTTTAATTAATATTTTCATCTTTTCACAGAATTTTTCATAACGTAAAATATTTTTATACTTGAAAAACTTTTACTGATTCCCTGTATTGCAGTAGGAATAAACACATTTATAGATTTTTAATATATGAATGTGTGTGTATATATATGTGTATATATATATGTAAAAATTGAAATTGAATGCTTAAAAATTTTCCTATGATCATGAGGTTGTACATATTATTTTTTCTGAATAAAGTAATTATAATTATTCAATAATATAATTAAAATTCAAAACAAATACATTATAGATTTTGATTTAAAAATTTATAAGAACTGAGTGGTAGTTTTTGTTCCCTAACTTGTTCATGTATAACGACACAATTCCTGTCATTATTATTGGAAAATATAAAATTTAATTTTTTAGTGCAAAAAAATGTTGTATACATGTTTTATAGAGAAATAGACCAATGAGAAATAAATGACTGAATGTGTCTTGTCAGAAGACAAGCCAAAAACAAGGTGGAGGTCCAAGAGAAGAGTATGGTCCAGTAGCTTTTTAGAGAAAGCATTAGCTTTCCTTCAGTTAGTCTAGTAAATTTTCATAGGAGGGAAATTTGAAATGCCATTTGAGCAATTAAAAATAGGTCATATTTCAAATGAGGTGAAAAGGGGAAAGTGTTTCAGGCCTATAACAATAGCGTAGAGATTCCAAGAAGGAAATAAGGTGAACAACAGAAAGAATTTTAATAGGTGTTTCAGAAATGAGTGGCACAGGCTGATTGGGATGAAGCACTTTGAGATAACTGGGGAAGAGTTTAGTCTATATTGTAAAAGAACATTATTATTTTAATAAAAGTGAAGCAAAATGGTGGCGGAAGGAATTGGAAAGGATCCAGAAAAGAGATTGTTGGAATAATTCATTTGAAGATTATCAGGGATTAGATCAAAATAATTGTGATTAGGATAGAGAAGAAGCTGATAGAAAATGTATTTGGAGAAAATCAAAGGATGTATTAGTTGATTTGTCATTTGAAAGGAAGAGTCATAAAACTGAATAACTTAACATTAGAGGAGAGATGGGATTGGTCACAGTATTGGGGAAGTTGATACAACAAACTTAGGGTATTAAGATAAGCAGTGCTTCCTTTTGGGTGGCTCTTTTTTTTTTTTTTAAGAGATGGACACAGTATCGTTATTTATTTATTTATTTATTTTTTATATGGTGCTGAGGATCGAACCCAATGCCTCACATGTGCAAAGCAAACTCTCTATGCTGAGCTATAACCCCAGCCCCTGGGTGGCTCTTTTAATAGAAAAATGGTAACCTTAGAAAAGGATTTATAATAATCATTTTTAAAATACAGTAAATAGTGCTGTATTTCGCTTATAAATGATCTTAAGAATTATTTAAAATATGCCTATTATAAAACAGTGTTGAGAAGAAAAAAAATTCAAGGTTGAAATCCTAAATGCAATCAAGGAATTTTAGCAAAACAGAAAACATTATAGGTACATTCAGAGAGGTAGATGCTAAATCTTTGAAGCCTTGTTTAGAAAGAGTATTTAGCAGTTACTATAATAGAATATAAACAAAAGAGCATTTAAAGAAAATGGGGTCAACCTTTGGGGGATTTATCAATTAATCTTCATTTACTGTAAAACAAAACTGCCCCAAAATATTATATGATGACAAAGCACCCTTTATATTTGCCATCTTCTCTCTTAGCTATTCTTCAGTCCTGTACCCCTACTCCTACACATACACACTCCAAGAGAACTTTTCCAACATGATGACCTCTTTCATTCTTCAGAGTACTTGATCACTAATCTACATTTGAGTCTGTTCACCACTTCCTCCTAAAAGCTCTTCGCTTGACATGCCTGACTTGGCTGGTTTCAGATTTTCCTACTACTAATATCTAATAATAACTAATATTCATAGCATTTATATTAGTGCTCAAAGTGTTCCACATATGTTTTATTTAATTTTTAGATTTTTAGTTGTAGATGAACACAAAACCTTTATTTTTTATATGTAGTGCTGAGGATTGAACCCAGTGCCTCACACATAACAGGCAAGCACTCTACCACTGAGCTACAACCCCAGCCCATCTGTAAGGTAGGTTGTAGAATCACTGACATTTTATAGGTATGGAAATTTGAATGCAAAATGGTTAAACAAGTTGCCTCAACACACAACTAGAAAGTGTGAATCAGGCTTCAAACCTAGATACCTATCTTTTTTTTTTAATATTTATTTTTTAGGTGTAGATGGATACAACACAATGCCTTTGTTTTTACATAGTGCCGAGGATCCAACCCGGGTCCCACTCATGCTAGGCGAGCGCTCTACCGCTGAGCCACAATCCCAGCCCTAGATACCTATCTTTTAACCACCATTGTATATTGCCTTCCTCGCTACTCTTCTAAATCTCCTTTGTGGATTTATTGACATCTCTCTCAAATGTTGCCATTCCTCAGGGATATAAATCATTCTTCTGAGTTTTCAGACGTATGTCTTCAATATTTTCCACTAGTATATCTCAAGTACCTCAAAGCCAATGTGTCTAAAATCTATTTATTCTGTTCTCACCAAACACAGTACTACATATCTCATTGAATGGTGTCATCATACATGCAGTTGACCAAACCACAATCTAAGTTCCATCCTAGACTCAACATTACCTCTCTGCTATCAGTTGGATAATACATGATTAGCTTAGATTAAAACATTGATAGGAACAATAAATGGGAATATTAACTTAGATGTGGTGAGAGAGCCTAGCATACTTATTGGTAATCTGAGAAATGCTCCTGTCTTCCCCCTCATCACAATGGCATAGGATATATGGACAGTTGGAGGTTATTTAATATGTGGAGAGAAATCATCTGTGACTGATATTGCATGTGACAAATGTATGCATTTACACTGAGGAGTTCAGGGAAAAAATGGCCTTAGAAGACAAATGAGAGGGATGAATTACTATATTCTTAAGATTTTTTTCACACTTTTAACATCTTTGAAATTTGGATGATGACTTCATCATTACATTTGGTGTTTTTTTCCTGCCTTAAAGATAACACAGAATAATGGTACATCTTAAGAGTTGATGGCTTCTTAGTTTTGATAAATGATAGCACTTGGGTAAGTTAACATTTGCTTACATTCCAATTGCCAAATTGTAATAAAGAACATAAGTATCTGTAATGCTTCCTTTGCAAATTGCTTAAAGACACAACAGTACAGTGATATTTGTGCATGATATACAAAGTGATACAACTAGAATTTACTTAAATTATATTAATTAGTGTTACTAGTATGTAGGTGATTATGAAAAGCAGTTGGAGATTTCCTAAGCCTGGTAGATCAAAAGCAGTTTAGATTCTCATACACAAGTAAAATTAAAATCTCTCTCTGGGTGTGGTAACTTAATATTACTAATAATTGAGCTCAAATCTTTTCCCCTCTCAAATGAGATCAGTGACAATTGTTACCTCTGGTGTGATTTATAATTCAGTTGAATGTTTAATTTTTCTTTTTTACAGGTAGCAGATATCAAGAGAGTTAATAATCTCATCAGTGATCAAGACTTTTTTGCCCTTAGGTCTGTCAAAATTCCAGTTAAAAAGTTTAGTTCATTGGCTGAAACACTTTATCCTCCAAAAGGAAGACAGGCTTCACGTCCTTCATCTGTTCAATATGCTCCAGAACAACAGGAAGTTTTGCCAGCTAATGATTGTCTTTCTTCTAGTGAATCAGCTGGCAGTTTTTTAAAAGAAGTAGATCGAGACATAGAACAAATAGTAAAGTGTACAGACACCAAGAAAGAGAACCTTAATGAGGTAGTGTCTGCCTTAACAGCACAACAAATCCGTTTTGAACCTGATAACAAAAACACCCAACGCAAGGATCCCTATTATGGAGCAGACTGGGGAATAGGCTGGTGGACCGCTGTAGTGATAATGTTGATAGTAGGTATAATAACACCAGTATTTTATTTGCTCTATTATGAAATTTTAGCTAAAGTGGATGTTAGTCACCATTCAACAGTGGACTCTTCACATTTCCATTCAGGAATCACAGCCCCATCACAGCATAGAGAAATGGAAAATGGAATTGCTCCAACTAGAGGAATACATGTTAGTCAACAAGATGATCATAAACTATATAGAGAAGATTTTCAGCCACCTGCTGCTCAACACAAAACATAGCAGTTAGCTCATAATCAAAGTAATAGGGATCAAATGTGTCTGGAATGCGGTGATTCGGTTATATCCAGTATCTACTTCAGAGGCAGAGTTTAGGGTGATTGATGATGCTTATGTTTTTAACCTTTCTAAAAGTTTTTGAGCCATTTACAAGTGGATTATGTATAAAATCCCTGAAATTGCTAGTGTTGGTGTTAAAAATAGTCAATCCATGAATATGTTATATGAATGCTTAAAGCAGAAGTGAATTTAAATTTGTGCTTAGGAAGTTCTCAAATTGGAAGATGTGTCATTTTTCTTACTTAAGACTATTTATATTTAAATATTGTTAAAGTAATTCTCCTTTAAAATTATTCATGTTAAATTTTTGAATCAGAATAATGATAGTTTCAGATGTTTGCAACTGAAGAAAATTTGTGAACCACCAAAATATTTAGTTGCAAAAAAATTGATTCTGAAATTATTCATGATAGTATTTAACATTCATCTTGAAACTTTAAAAACATTTCGGACATGTGCTATGAAAACACAGGTAGAAACAAACGGAAACATAATGTATAACTTCTACAATAGAGGTTGAGAAATAGATTAAATATTTTTAAGACCCCAAAATAATGTGTTATGGTTGGGAAGTTGCCGTTTGATCACTAGAACACTGGATTAAGTCAGGACCCAAATGTAATCTTGTCTTTTAAAGAATGCTTAAGACAGACCCTTTAACCTCACCTCTGCTTCTATTTTTAAAATATTTGCCTCTGATATTTGAAAACATTTTTTGTACTTCTTTGATGAAAAGTGTTATACATGTATAGATTAGCATTATTTAGGAAATAACTCCTTACATACTGTGATAAATCATTGCTGTTACATATAGTAACAGGCCTTAATTACATTTACTGCCTTAGAATATTACTTTATGTAGTTAATATAAGTTTTAGAATTTAAACATTGTTTCAGATGGTCCAGTTGGATTCAGTATAGGTTAATTAAGCAAGCTCATCTCTACCTTCACTTTGCAGCACAAGTTAATGAATAAAAACACATCTTTATTACCATTGAGGTCTATTGTAGATAAGGGTTCATCAAGCAAAAATAAAAACAAGAGGCCTTTTGCATTAAATAGGAAATAGTTGCTGTATTTGTTGATCTCTTAACCTGTTTTTCAAAGGGAAAATATCCAACCTAGACTTTTTCCCCCCTGAATTGTAGCATCAAATTGAGGAAAAGAGGCCAAAAAATGGATGGTTGAAAGGACTCAATAGTACCATTTTTATAAGATATGCTGTGGATCAGCCAGTCTGACTAAATAAGAAACGTTTGCATACTGATCCTATCATTTTTTTAAAGTGTGGGTTTTAAAAATGTTATTTAATGACTCAATAGATATGAGATGGAGTCTGGATTGCCTGTTTTGTGTATAATAAAGTATATACCTTAAGATATATAATACCATCTCATTTTCTGGGTATATTTTCTGATATTTCAATATTTTACATCAGAAACTCTAATCTTGGTATGAAATGGTATAAATATTTATGGTAATTGGGATTTATATACTTTCAGGAGAAAGCATCATAACAAGGACAAAGAAGCCAAACATTTTAAAGTCTTTGTATGTATCAGAGGACTTTAGAAAATGACCAGAGTGTTCAATAGGAAAGTTGTGAATTGATTTTTTTCAGTAAAATAATTCTCAATTGTTTTAATGTGCCTTGGGTATCTGGAAACGAGGAGTATGATATTTCAATTAATGCTCATTGCTTATTTGGCTAGTTTATATACCATTTAAACCTGCTGAAAAATCAAGTTTTAGGATAGTAAATGCAGATTATTTCAGTTAGAACAGTCTTTGACATCCTTTAAAGATATATTTACATCAAATTGATAAGGTTAGAGTCACTGGTTCATTTTTGTTAGCTTTACTTTGAAATTGTGACAAAGGGGTCTGATTACTTATTTTTAAAGTAAGAAAATACTGAAGTTGGCTAAAATTCATTTCTGTCTTTCTGAGTATCCTTTTTGAAAGAAATACATCATATCCTTATAAAACACAATCAGGCAGTTTCCCTTTTCTGTACATTTGAATTACATATAATTCTATCTATATAGGTTATATAGATAGAATTAAAAACAAAGATTAAACTGTAAAACAAAAATTCCTTAAGAATTCAGATTTAAAATTTTAGCTTTTAAAAAGTACTAATATACATTCAATTTGTTGTAAATGCAAATTACGTTATATAATTAGATAAGCATAATTGTTTGATATTGGATTTTAATTGTGTTGAAACCCTTGTCTGAATTTAAGACCTTATATTTGTATGTGTGTATGCAAATGTAACAAAACTGTGAATCATAGTATTTGGCTTACTTAAAAATTGGGAGTTGCAAGTAAAGAAAAAATACATTATTTTTAGGGCAGATTTTTTGGGTTTTGTTTTTAATTTTGGATAGACATGGCTTAAAGGTTGTTTTGAACGAATGGGTAGCCATTTAGGTTAAATATTTTTGCTGTCCACCCCTAGAAAAAAAGATGGGTTATGGTCTCCTGGCCCTGTTAAGAATTAGGAGAAACATGTAATTTCAAATTATCTTCCCCAAAGAACTTTTTGATTTACTTTCTTTTCTGGACTTTTACTTGCTTGGTCAGTGACCTAGAAAGTTCTTTAAACAAACCACTACTTAGTAATCTACTTCCAACATTACCTATTTGGGAATATGAAGGATATAGTTAGTTTTAGAAATATGAAGTAAAGGTCCAGTCAAAGTGTTAAAGGGTAAAGGTGGAGTTCAGTCTATTTAAATGGTGCATTATGATGGGAATCATTCTTAGTTTGAATTACAACAATGTTGCTCAGGAAATCAGTATTTTTCTTCTAAGTATGTGCATATTGCACTGTTAGACCATAGACATATTTGCTTTATTTAATTCATTTTATGTATGCAAAATTTATAAATCTTTTGTATACTGTATTTTATACAATTGCACAATGTAATAATAGAATATTATGTTAAGTGTACATCTGTAAAACTGGTTTTTAAAACTTTTTGCCCCTTGTTTTTCATATTTTAAAAGATGTAAAATGTAATAAAGTTTCTATTTTATTATTCAATCTAAAATTCAAGCTGGTGAATTTAATTGACTAAAGCAAACTTTTCTTCTCTACTTTCAAACTCTAAGATTGATAAAGTTGCCAACGGTTTATGAGTTAAGGTTTTTACTTGCTGTGCTTAAACAAAATCTTCTGGATTATTTATAGGTCATAAATGTAAAAAAAGAAAAAAAAGAAAATTTTAGAGGAAGGTTAAAGGGTTTTCCTCCTGGAAGACTTGCTGAGGCATGGTCTACAACTTGCTTATGAAGTCATGGATCAATCATATAAAATGCTCTATTTATCTGTAAATTTTAATGGTAAGACAAAAATATTTCTCCTTCAAAAATATTAATTTTAAAAAATTAGAAGAAGCCTAATTGAGAAAGTTCTTTAGAACATTTATTAATGGAGGAAACTGTGGGGTTTTTTCCATATGTTTCTCCTTGATTTTCCCATTTTTAAAAGCATATTGATCTTAAAATTGTGTTTAGATTTTTTTTTTTTTTTTGGTTAAAAGGAGATTTTTACAAAGTCCAGAAACTTTAGCTACATTAAAGCAAAGCTACTGATTTGACGGTGCTAAGGGAGGAAAGGCTAAGAAGAATTGTCTGAATTTCTTAGCATTATCTGATCATTTAGCAAACCAGTGATCACACTAATATTATACTGTCTGCCAAATCTCTTGGTTTGTCATCACAACTTTTTTCCTAATCAATCACATACCTAGATTTTTCATTTGTTGTTTGTGATGGTTTATTCAAAGATATTTCACAGAGGTAACCCTGCTCAATAAATACATAGTTACTATGTAAAACCTGTATTTACAAACTACTTTTTCTTACCTATTAATAAAGGTTGAAACTAAAAATATTAAACAAAAGGACACAATTTTATTTTGTAAGAATTTAATGTTAAATACAGAAAAATAAACATTACAGCAACCAGGTTTGCTTGTTATAATAATTTTAAAGACACATCACCAATAAGTATTTTGTGTTTATGTGTGTGTGTATGCATACACACACACACACACACACACACACACACACACACGTATATATTAAGCTATCTCTTGCCTTCCTGTGGAATAACTTCACAGTCTCAGATCTTCAACCAGAAAAAGAAAAGAAAAAGATGATTTGTGCTAGTAAAGCAATATTCAGACCCTGTCTAATCTCACGATTAACATACTTTAAAATTGTAAAAAATTGTTCCAAAGTGGGGAAATAAGTTTAAATGAGAGATGGCCAGGACCTCTCGAGTAAATCCTTGTCCAAAGGTGCTGGCCTAACTATCTTTAGGACTATAACCAGAACGACAAATATAAAGCTAGGAAAAGAAATACCTTTACCTTCAGTGTATTTGCCTTGTTCAAGCTTTGATCTGCACTTTTATAATAAAGGAAGTAAACAAATATAGAAATAAGATTTCTATAAACAAAATGGTATTTGGCTCTGGTACACCAAAGGAAGGGAGAATAAAACACCTATGTTAATTATTCCCAAATGACAACTTTGCCATTATTACTAAAAACTTCATATGAGGTTTCTATTCTAATAGATTGCAGCTTTAAAGAAGACTTATTCATATTTCCATTTAGAATCTTAAGATCTTTTGATACACTCCTTTAAATGAGAAGTCACATACTATGAGTACAGCATTAAACTAGTAAGATAGGTTCTCATACCCATCTTGAATTATTTGAGGAAGTATTGCGATTGAAAATGATCTTTTTCCTGAGACAATCATGTTGCAAAATTGCACAAGACAATACAAATTTTCCCCACAAATGAAAGATGGGAAAACCTGATTATGAGGAAAACATTTGTTTCTCAAAATGTTTTTCAGTCACTTTCTAAGTTTCAACTATTTAAAAGGTAAGAATCAATTTTAAGATATGATCATTTATTTCTCTAAAGTAAGAGAATGTAAACATGGTAAATTCTGGTTAGTGTTTAAACACTTTTTATAGGAAGTAATTTACAAGCGGAAAAACTAAGGCACAGAAAATCAAGTTAAGTTTTACGGTTGAACTTAATATTACAGTAGAAATAAAATTTAGGGCTCTGATTCTCAGGTTAGTAGGTAATGAGTAATATCTTCCCAATAGGTAAAAATAAATTTTCTTCATTTCTTTTGGTGGGTAATGAGAAGTAGTCTTTTTCTTGAAATCTATTATGTGAATTTCCTTGAAAATCTTTGGCATATTTAAGTTTTTGGAGGCTGAGGTTTCTAGGCATTTTCTCCCCAGAATATAAAATGGCAGGGAGCTAGCTTTTAAGTTAAACAAAAAAGATTAATGACCTGAGTTAATTCTATATTATAATCAACTATACAGCCTTTGAGTCCTGTGAAGCATAATAGAGGCCACTACATTAGACCACATTCACACTCATGCTTTCTACCATGAAATTTATATAACCAGGACTTATGTACTTAAGTAATAAACAAGATGTTTCAGTCTAATTTTTCAAAAGCCCAACTATTTGAACATGTCAAACTTAACCACAGAGGATCACTAACTCATATTTTGTATGGTAGGAAGTTAGCCCCAAATTCAAGTATTTATAATATTCATCCCAAATGAAAGCCTCTCTGTACTGGCTGACATGTGAAATGTGAAATTTAAATAGATCAGACTGACATTTTTCCCTGCATGTATGTTTTTGATCATAAAACCTCCAATCTTATAAGTTTGTACTTTAAGAGCCCAGGCAGGTTTAAGGAGTCATAACGTAATAGTATAGAACATAGCACGTAAAAGATAATTTTCAAGTTTCTTTGTTTTTAAAGTGCTCCATGTGCTATATTAAATCATCTTCAGGTGATAGAAATCCATTACAACTACTAATAATTTTACAAAAAAGACCAGTTAAACAAGAATAAGTTGTTCAAGTATGTATGAATACATAGATTAAGAGATGCAAAAACTCTTTAGCATAATCAAATCCAAATAATACAAAAATCCACTAACATACACAAGAGGGATGGCAAAGTTGTTAAGGAGGAATGTCAGAGTGTCAGATAAATTTAAAAGGTAACTAATGTATAAAAGCAATTATGACTATTTCAGTAACAAATATTTGTTCAACAAAACATAAATCAAGTCTGTCCAACTGCTTAGAAGCTATATTATCATTAATTTTTTTCTTGAGAAATTTTATGGCTAATAGGTTGCTTCATCCATGTTGTCGTCACTTTCTGCACCAAAATCATCTCCATCTTCAAAATATGAATTAATGTAGTCATTTTCCTAAGTGAAATGATATATTTCTTAGTAAAACTAAAATTAAAAAGTAGTAACATTATTATTAAAGAATACAATGTAGACTGTTCCTTTAAGTTTATAAATACCAAATTTAGGTAATAAAATAAAACAGGCTTACAAGAAGAGTCTTTGCTTTTTAAAAATCTCTAAAAGACACATTAGTTTTCATACATGTCTGCCTGTGCTACTTTCTTCCTCAAGACACCACTTCCTAGTATTCTCAGGCACCAACTACTTTAGACAACAGGAAGGTTTGGCCAATTCATCACAGTAGATATATCTAAAGCAGTTTTCCCTAGTGGGATGATACATCGTTTAGTGAACTTAAAATACCATGTATCTGCCAAATGCATGGACAGGTATCTCCTTACTTTGACTTACCTACATAAGTGTCTACGTCCAGCTTATTAGGATTTTTCCAGTCCAGAAAGTTGGCCTGGCTTCTCTGGTGCCAAGCTTCAGAAATGTCTAGAAACCTAGCTGAAGCCCAGAGCCTTTGTTCTGGGAAGGAATGTGGCAAGGGTGACAGTTCAAATGAGACCACCATATAAATAGTCATAATTCTATATATAACCTTAGTACACATGCATGTGTGGAAATGTAATGGACAGAGGCAGAGTTTTAAATCAATGAGGAAAGCAAATCATTTAACAAATGAGCTTAGCAGCCAGTTAACCACTGGAAACATAAAAATCCAATCTCTCCATTTATATCAATAGAAATTTCAAAAAATACAAAATGTAATGCAAAATAATAAAAACAGAAAGTCTTCACATTTGGATCTGTTTCAGGTAAAGACAAGATTCAGAATATGGTAAAAAGAAGGTGAAATGGAATGGCTGGGCACAGTGGCATATATCTGTAATCTCAGCAACTTGGGAAGTTGAGGCAGGAGGATCAGAAGTTCAAAACCAGCCTCAGTAATTCAGCAAGGCCCTAAGCAACTTAACGAAACCCTATCTCAAAATAAAAAAAGATAAAAAGGGCTGGGGATGTGGCTCAATGGTTAAGCACCCTTGTGTTCAATGCCTGGTACCAAAAAAAAAAAAAAAAAAAAAAACACATTAAAATGGACTGAAGATGAAGTTCACCAGAATAGAGAAGAAACTCTTAGCCTAGGCTTGTTGTATGAAGTGTTGACAAAGTTGCAAAGAGGCTATGACCAATAAACTTGATTAACTCCAGTTTTTGAAATGCACCATGTTTCTAAAAATTGGAAATACTAAATCCAAAACATGGAGTCCTGATTAAGCCAGACACCTGAAACTAAACCATCAATATTCTCTAATAATGTCCATGCTGTCATGTACCACTATAAGGACTCCCTTCCAGATCTGTATGGATACAGGTCTGGAAGGGAGTCCTTACTACCTTACTCTACTACCTTAAATGGCTGACTAAATTTTTGTTAAGATTAGTTAATTGTACTTAATCTGATAAATTGCCTTAATTTATGGAATTCCACTTACAAACCTGTGTAGGAAGTTATTTTATCTTTCAGTTTGGCATGATTATCATTTCAGTGCTATAATAATTCTCTTGATACCAAGGAATTGATGCCAGTGACAACAATATACTTCTGGTTCCTATCAAGCTGGTTACTGATTTTAATTACATACCATACATCTGATTACTTATTAGACAATCTTTATGGTTGGTAACTGTTACTCTCCCCCAATAGACCTTTACCTCCTCTTGCTCTTCTTCATCATACTCCTCCTCTGCAGCATCCTCATTGTCGTCATCATCATCATCGCCTTCTTTACTTTTCTCTTTGCTTCCTTCTTTTTCTTCATTTTCCTCATCTGATTTTTCACCATCACCTCTCTTTTCCAATTCCTGGTATAAGTGACTTTCATTAATTTATATGGAAGCTCTAGACTTTGACCTCCCAGTCCAGCCTAAAGAGAACATACTTTCCTCTAATCCCATTTTACCTCCACACCATGAGTTGGAAACCATGAGTTGACTCAAGAAAGGAAGCACTCACTGTCCTATAATTACATGAGTATTTCTTTGATTTTGTAACTTAATAGTTGGATCTTAGGTAATGCTGGGTTTGTCAGCTCTGATGCACAATGCTTTATTTTTATGATTTCTATCCCTCCTCCTTCTAAAACATTTGACATAATTTAGTTTATAGAGAAAAACTTTCAGAATGTTATTTTGTTTCCCTTCTAACATAAAAGGAGAAAAAAAAGAATGTAATGGTAATATTTCAAATTGTCCATGTTTTTGTTTATAAGTGAGACTGCTGAAAACCACAGTGTCATTCTGGGAGAAAGTATCCTAATCACAAATTATCCCTGTCTATCTCTGTTTTGTTCTTCATTGTTTACTTCACATTTGCAGGACTTTATAATATATCTGGAGATTAAAAATTCAGATCACAATCAACGCTAGTGATCATTAGCAACTCTAAGATAGGAAACAAAGGAGAGAAACCAAATTATGAAAGTTTTGATTGCCTGATGGCTACACTTATCCACTTGGTAAAAATCATTATGCTACTTTCTCATGGAATATAAACTTTACTTTAAAACTGCATATTTGTATTTCTATTATGACTACCAATGATCTTCTTCATTAGATTAAAAAAAGACCTGTTGTTATTACTGTCATTCTCTCCTAAATTGTACTATTGCTCACTTTGCAAAAATGTTAGAAATTCAAAAGTTTTCTAGAAGGTAAGTATAACAATAATTTCATATTAATACTAATACTGAAGGCTTTATTTTAGCTAATTTGTTATTCTTTCTTGTTTAACATTTTTTAGTTGTCAATGGATCTTTATTTAATTAATTTACTCATATGTGGTACTGAGAATAATCAAACCCAGGGTCTCACACATGCCAGGCAAGCATTCTACCACCAAGCCACAACTCCAGCACCAATTTGTGATTATTCTTAAGTAGTAATTAGAACACTTATCCATCAACAAATACACCATCTCTTTCACAATATATGTGCTTTGTAGATTACATATGAACAGAAAACCTGTTATATCTGAGATGGTTACAACTTAGCTATTTCTTTGTTGGTTCTTAAATATTTATTTTTAAAATCCTTTTAATTATATCCAAGTTGAAGTTAAAGAAATCAAAGGCAATGAGAGGACATCATGTAGATTAAATTTGTAAGCAAGCTCTCCTTTTCCTGTGTATACACACTCCTCTCAGGAACAACAAATAAGACCAAGGTAATAGACATGAGATGATTTATCTTGACACTGTCTTTTATGTTGCCTTATGAGTTATTACTGCATTATAATGTGTGTGATTTTTCCAACTGGCAATGTTCTCAGAAAATTACAAGTAAACAAAATACTTGCAGATGAAATAGATCTTTTAAAACATCTGTAAAACACATATATATGATACTGTGTTAATACTAATTAATAAATGACATTTTGTCTTTTCTATTTCAATCAGACCATAAATAAAAAAGGCCTGAAACGCATAAGTTTGTGTAGTTAAAATGGAAATTGTGCTATATTAATTTAACTCTGTGCAAGGTATTTACTGTTTCTGAAAAAACAAGCTATTAATTATTATTTCATAATTAGCAGTTATTTAACCAGTTTATGGAAAATATTTTTTAAATACAGAACATTCAGTGTGACATAGGGATATGGAAGTTTACATTTTTACTACTGCCATCTCAAATATCTTTAAATAAATAACTTCATCTTTCTACCCCACAGACTCAAAGCAAACCCATAAAGCACTTAAGTAGATTAACAAACAGAAGAGTTCTATGACATTCTGTTAAAAAGTGATTCCAGAGTCACACACTTTATCTCAATACTTCCTCCTTCTGGGTTAAGGTGCCGGTGTGAGCCCTTCTGCTTGGTAGCTTCCATTTTCTCTTCTATGTTATTTAACTACCTAAGCTTATTACATTAAATATTTAAGAATAAAAAATAATAATATAATGTAAAATCATTTCAAAGACAGTTCATTTACGTATGGAGAACTGTTGTTCTATCCTAAATACTATACAGGCACCACATAGAACCTCCCCTCTATGTCATGCAGAAATAAGAAGCTTATATGCCAGTTTATTGCTGGCTGATTATTCATGAGATCTGACTGTATGTTGCTACCTCCCCATATAAGGGTATTCTATTGTAATCAGTTTGAACCTCCTTTTGCTGAACAAATGAACAATCACAGAATCAAATAGAAATAGCTTTTGTAATATTAAAGTTGTTAACTCACTGGGATATCTAGACCTAAAACTCCAATTTTAACACTGTTTTCTGGAAATGATATTAAATGTAAAGAATAAGAAAATAGTTTGTTCTGAAGAGAAACCACACCCAGAGGTGCAGATTAATCTTCCCTATAGCTTCTTACAGTCATTGCAGCAACTTTTTCCAGGAGGCTTTAAGAGCAGCCAGAACTGTGTTCAATCAGTATAAGCTAGATGTCCTGCAATCTCATCTATCATTCCACCACAGTTAAGCTTGACAGTTATTGCTATTCCTTTATCAATCCTCTGGCTTTATTTTCCAGACATGTTATCTCAGGCTCAAGTATGGGCCAAAAAATAAAATAGCAAAAAAAAATGAGTTTCTGCCACCAAGTAACTGTGTCAGCTTGATCTGGCAAGTAATTGTGTTTACACTTTTGACTTCCTCTTCTGTAAGTAAGGAAAAATAATACCCACCTCTCTTTTGGTGTTTCAAACTCTTAAGGTTATACTGCATGTAAAGAGCTTGTCAAAGAGCCTGGCACATAGTAAGTTCTCAGTAACTTACTGTTATTATCATCATCAATGAAAGGTAAATACACACATTGATATTATGAGTAATTTGGTATAAACTCCAGGGAAAGCAACATGGTAATAATTAATCATTTTATATGTAGACAAAACAATTGGCCCAACAAATCCACTTCTAGAAATTTACCCTACTCATGTGAAATGTCATACTCAACATGAACTCATTGCATCATTATTGATAATAGTGAAACACTACAAGAAACATGATGTCCAGCATTAATTGAATTAATGCAGTCAATAATTAATTGAATTACAGTGCAGTCAACAAAAGAATGAGGCAAGTTTTGAACAACTAATAATAATAATAATAACAATAATAATAAAGAATGAGGCAACTCTATACAGACTGATATGGAACCACCTCCAAGATATTTTGTTAAGTGATAAAATGAAGATGCAGAAGACTGGGATATACTATCTTTTGTCTTTAAAAAGGGAGATTCTGTTTTTGTTATATATAAAAATATTCTGGAAGGCTATACAAGAAACACTGATAGTCAACAGTGAGGGAAATAAATGACTGGGAGAGGGATGGGAGGGCAAATTTTCAGTCTATTAACGTTCTGATTTATTTTATCTATTTATTTTCAAAAATAGTATCTTTACTGTTAACTTGAAGCAGGAGGATCACAAGTTTGAGGCCAGATTAATGAGACTGTTTGAAAATAAAATTTAAAAAGGGCTGGGGATATAACTTAATAGTATTGCATACCTGGATTAATTCCCCCATACTGGGGGCAGGGACATGGAAAAAAGTAAGTGGGGCTGGGGGGTAAAGAGAGAAGATAAAAAAAATTAATTCCATAAGATACAATTTTTTCCTCAATAGAACCTGCTATATATATTATAAGACATGAGGGGAAAAACATTTAAAAAAGTACATATACACTAACAGGGGGAAAAATGAGATTTTTTTTGAAAGAACTATATTTTAGGTAACCTTTTCATGTTTCTCTCCTCTCCACAAATAATTCAAATACAAGGGGAAAATAGGGATATGGTAGAAAAGAAAGCCTGTGGTAGAGGTTGAGGTACTTTGCCAGGTAAGTGGTCAAGAAGGATAGGTGGGGGACGGGGGGAGGGGGGAGGCTTCCACACATCCCAGGTAACAAAGTTCAAACCTTCTCATTGGCTTTTGTGGAGGCTTGCTTCTGCCAAATCCATTTATTAAAAAAGTAAGAGAAGGCTGAAAGGTTAAAGTGAGAAGGAATCATATTACATATTTTCAGTTTATTTTTATAGTAAGAAGAAAACCCTACCTCAATTTTTTTCAAAACATCTGCAGTATTAGCGAGTGAAGTACCTTTGTCTGTATCTTTTGCCTTTTTGGATTTTGGGTCTGCTGAAATAAAACCACCAGTTAACATATTTTTCTATAACAGCAACCATGATTATATTTTTGTGCCTTTTCATATGCTGAATAGTATAGTATTATGTCACATGAAGCAGTCACATAATTTTAGAGTGAATTTATTTTCTCAAAGAGTAAACAAAATAAATCATCACACCTCTTCAGTGTCCAATCAAAACAAATGATAATCACCTCATAAGATATATTTTTAAGACTGTAGTCAGATATATTTTTACTAAGTACTGAAAATTTGAACTTGCAATTAGTACCATTAGGGACAAAATTGCTAAAACGTTACCTCAGGTGGAAGCACTTTATTACCAGGAAATGCTCCCAAAATTTTATCTGCAGCAGCTTTCTGTTCAATCATTAGCATTTCATTTTAACCAAAGCAAAGTTACTAGGTTTGAAAAATAAAAAAGAAGTGTTGGATAAATATGCACTTGCTAATGGCAAAAGAGACAAGAAAGAGGTTTTATTCGGTACAATAAAGAACTACATTTGGAGTGAAGAGTAAAATGGTTAAACTGAACACATCCATCATATAAATCTCAAAACTCAAAGCATATAAATTAAACATTCTAATTTGGGATATATAATTTGTTTTGCCCATATAAAAATATTGCCTCTAAGGCTATTCTGAAACTGCATAGAACATAGAATTATTTCACACATAAATTCTGCCAGCTACCAAAGCATTATGATAGGCTAAAAATTGTACCATTATCATCAGAAGTATTACATCTCTTTTCCAAGATCAAACTAAATACCTAGAAATTACTTGTTAACCGAAGAAAGCATGGCTTAGAAAGATGTAATTTTATTAAAGATTAACATTTAACCTACAGAAGAAGAAATTTTTAGATTGTGGTGAATGACCTATAACTGACGGAATTACAATTTACTGTGTTATACCAAATTACCCCTTTAGGAGTTATTGAGCTCAGAGCTCCCAAACATGTATTAGTGAGGTCTGCTCAAACAAAAGTGACAGATGTAATGATCTTTATCTTTCTCTGCCCTCCTTAAGGGCAAAAGCTCTTTAATATGAACTGTGGCACACAGAGTATTGCATATGAATGAGATCTGAATAAATATTGTAATATCAATGACAAAACCTATTAGCTAAGAATGTGATTTACTCATATCATGAAGTCTTTTGCTCTAAGGAATACTTATCAAATTATTTAATTTAATAATACATAAGTCTGTTAAATGGATACTACACAAATTGTCAGGTAAATATTCTTATATAAATTACTGATTTGTTAACTAAAAGTCAGTTACAAGAACTGGGGCAGAGCACTTTCCTAGCAAGTATGAGGCTGGGTTCGATCCTTAGCATGGCATAAAAATAAATAAATAAAAAACAATCATTAAAAAAAAGAAAGAATCACACCAATCTATACTTAAGAAAAAGAAGTCAATTAAAGAATTGAGTCCACTCAGCATTTCTGCTACATATTATTTGGGTTTTATATAATGCCTAATCCTATATGAATAATTGGGGGAGAAGTATCAGAGACTATTTTGCCCCCAAATATAGCCAAATGTATGCATATATTTGAAATTTTGTTTGTTTCTCTTTCTTTCAACACCTGTCAGTAACTGATTCTTCAAGAAAACCTTTTTTCACCTACGACTCTTTTGGTACTGTTTACTTTCTCTAAATCAGTGAAGGCCATCAAAAGGGAGAATACAAGCCTATGAAGAAGAAACCAAAAAAATTACACCATGTGCATAAAAAATATTATAACAGAATGGGAACAAGAAAGTTTTGTTATTGTTTTGATTTTTAATAAATGGAATTCTGCTACACTGGAAGATTTTACTAGATTAATGTATACATAAAGCTCTAAGGATGAGCAGTCCTTGAGAAATATTTGAAAACATTAATTCTAAAATGGACACATTTTTTTTCAGCTCTTGAAAGTCTACTTCTGATTTATGATCCATGAAGACATCACCAGAATCTTTCATGCACATGTACATTATTATGAAAATATTTCCTCAAAAAAAATCAAGGGTTTAATAGATAGTAGATAATTCTGGTATCTCCATACTTTCTGTATTCAAGCTAAATATTTTATGTAATAAGACTTTAAAATAAGATAGAAATACTTCCAACATATATATATATATATATATAGATATAGATATAGATATATATGTTTTTACACATATCTATACATAAAAACTTAAATTGTAGCCTTCAAACTGTGCACTTTACTATATGTCAATTATACCTCAATAAAGCTCTTAAAAAAGCAATGGGTATTTCCTCTTCTCTTAGTTGCTAAGTGCACCGTTCTTAACTTCTCTGGCTACTCCCTTTTTCTCTCTTCATTCTTGATGCCAAAATTCTCTAAAGACTCATCTACACTAGAAGTTTCCATTCCTAAGGTCCCACTTACTGCTTAACCTATTCCAATATAGACCTATCCAAGTCATTTAAAAAGTTCTCCCTGAGGATACCCATGACTGATATAAAAAGATAAACTGATGTTTTTCAATCTTTGTCTTACCTGACCTCTCTGCAGCATTGTTTAACCTCCATGAACACTGCTGACCACTTTCTGAAATATCCTTCCCAATTGTAGGTTCTTCCTCCTGTGGCTCTGGTTTCACCTCTCCCTCTCTTTCTATTTCTTCACTCTGCTGATTCAATCTCCTCTACCAGTCCATTAAATGTTGGCATTACTCCAAGCTCAGGGCCCTCTTTCCTCTTAATTATCGAATTGCATCCTAGATGATTTCATCCCTTCTCACAACTTCAACTATCATCTCTCTGCTGATGACTACCACCTCCATTCTAGGTCCACACCCCTGTTTCCCACAACATGGTCAAATATTTCTGTTTATCTCAAAGGAACCAGAAAAAACATCTCTGAACCAAATTCATGATTTTCTCTCACAACCTGATCTTTGTCCATGTCCCTCCAACCACCTCATGTTAGTAAACGCCTACTCATCATTCAATATCAATTCTACTTCCTTTTCCTAGAAGAACCCTTCCCACACCTCCCAATGAAGGCAGTCATTTAATGTTTTTTTCTACATTTGACTGGCAACTCCAGGAAGGCATAGATAGTGCCACAGTGCTCTGTGTTTTATTCCTCTCAGCACAGTATCTGGCAATAGCAAATACTCAATTATTTACTGAATGGAATTACTAAAGAAAAACAAAATGCAAACATACACTTTGATATTTGTATATACAATATAATTCTATTTTACCAGTTTCCCAGTTGTATAATATTTCACTGTAGCCAATATAATCATCAAAAATTTTGTAGATATACAAATGAAAAAGTCTATATAATTGAAAAGTTTCTCCTAGCACACAAAATTGAAAAAAGGACAACAACTAAACAACCCCCCAAAAATCAATAATAGTTACAAAAACAAAGCTTTGACATAACAATCAAAATGCTAGATATATTTTAAGAAAAAACATTCAGAACACTGAACATAACTTCAGGTTGACAATACTGTTAACATAATTAAGCAACAACCTTCTACCTGCATTACTATTGCAACTAAATGTACCTTTTTTGCATTTTTTCCTGGGCATCATCTCTCTTGGGAGTCTTCTCCAATCTGGTGTACAAAAGAAGAAATATAAAAATTTCCATTTCCTCTAGGAATCAGTGGTTTTGGATATAACTATTTAAAGATATGCCAGTTGCCCATTTAATGACAATAAAATTTCTTAGTATCAAACTGTATAGATTTAGACTAAAATATAACGAATATAACAGACAACGATAAATTTTCTCCTATAAAGAAAAAAAATGCATTGAAATAACTTTGAAATAGTGCAATGAAATTTGGTGGGTACAAAATCTTAGGATAATTCTTTGGGGATGTTAGAATTACAACTGTTTTTGTTAAATATTATTTATTATATGACCACTTTGTAGTTTGTTAGTTTTCTCTGGCTGATAGATATTTCTTATGTAACTTTGTTTTTTCAAAAGTTAGAACTTGTGACCACAATACCAATACATGTGAAATGAAATAAACAACTCTAACAAATATCTGAAAACTTAAAAGTATAAATAGATGTTGAAAGATAAATTCCCTCCAATAATTTTTTTTTTTTTGCTTAAATTAGCTAAAAATGGTCCCTCTACTTCTTCACTTTCTTTGAATTTTGGGGGATCTAGGGGGAGAGAACTACCAGTGATTGAACCCAGGGTCTCACATATGCTAGGCAAGCATTCTACCACTGAATTATACTTCCAGCCCCTACTTTTAATTTTTAAGTATAGAGATAAGCAGAAAATTGAAGTGATATAAAAGCAGATTTAATAATACTCTGTTAATAAATAAATTGTGCATTTGTACAAAAGTTAAGTCTCAAGTCATTTTACATGAATTAATAAATTTTGCTTTTAATCTGTTTTTATAAACTACTCATAGAAGATCATAAGTATGTAAAGAATCATTTGAGAGATGATTATTAATGAAATAGAAGAAATGAGAGGGATTTAAGAGTAAGAGTATTTCCAAGGGGCCCCAGTCTTCTTGGTTGATTAACATGAAAAGAGCACTAAAATCCATGAAAATGATAATGCTATTAGTACCATTTAGAAATTTACATAAGGGCAATTTCTATAAAACTATGAACAAAGATAAAAGGTAAGTGAATTTAAATGAAGAAAACTGAGTTCTAGTGTATTGGAAAATGACCCTGATGGATCATTTCATTTCTATAGCAACTGCTTTTTATTCCCAAATGAACAGGCTGGTTGAGACCTCCCCTACAGCCCCTTCCACCCAAGGTGAAATTTTACATGTTGAAAACAAAACTCTTTTAGTTATGGTTCTAATGAAAAGGCATGCTGGCAACTAAAACTAGCCTATGTCTGCTTGAAGGAAAGGAAGATCCTTTCGATTTAAATATCGATTTAAAATATCCTTAAAACTAGTTTTTTACTCTGTCCTCAAAAGCTTTAAAATCATTCAAGAGCAAAGAAGTAAGTGTTCTTTGCAAATTAAAATTGTGACTGTGGCTTCTGAATCTAGAAAATCTAAAAGGCTTTAGCAAGTCCTATTTTTATAAGAATGTATTTTGAAAACTTCAAAAAAGCACTTCAATTTTTCCTTGTTATGGTATCAAAATCTTTTCCTCTTGGTTTCCAAAAGATTTACATTACAAATGAGTTACAGAAAATGAACCAGACTGTTTTCCTATGGTGAAATAGAAAACTTATCCTCAAAAAAATATTTTAAGATCATCTGTTTTATAATACCTGGTTTCCACTCTTCTTTGTATACCTTCATATATCTTTTACTATACCTTTCAATATCTAGGGGAAAAAAGAAGAACAAAAAATCCATTAGAAATATCAAAAATTTAAGCCATTCTTAATAATTGCAAACATCTGATAGCATCTCTTATTTTACCTTTGGGAATTTTCTACACCATCATACAATAGGCTTGAAACCATGGAAAGTACATTAGAAATTTAAAAATCAAGGACCAAATCAAGGATCTAGATTTCTTCTAGAAAATGCTCCCAAGCAGTACAATTATGTATAATTAACAAACTACTTGTTAATTGTACCTTGTGTTAAGAGAAAGATAACTAAGAACAAACAGAGACAACCAGACAGAGCAGGCTTCTTTAGGTACTTAACTGATTTCAGATTAAATGTTTAATCTTGCCCTCAAAGTTCTCACTCATAAAAAGAGATCAACAGAAATGAGGGGGCTATGCATTACAATTATTTCTTTTTTAGAATTTTCTGCAAAACAGATTCTATATGTTGAAAAAATTTAAATATTAGTATAGTAAGAAAAATTGTTTTAGCCATTTATCACTTGGGTCCAATGGAGGTTTTTTCTTTTACATTTTTCAATATTTTTAAGTTACTTCCAAATTTACAGAAAAATAAAGAAATACTGGAAACCAACTACTGGAACCCAATTTAAGGATCAAAAAATATGCATAAATTTCCCCAAAGGAAATGTGTAAAAGAAAAAAGAACACATGACATTCTGTCTAACATGTCAGCTGGAAAATTAAAATCAAAAGCACAATGAGATACACTGTATGCCCACAAGGATGGCTAGAATAAAAAAAGACAATAACATGAGGACAAGGTGGTGGAGAAATTTAAGAATTTCTGTTGATGGAAATGTAAAAAAAAAGTTTGACAGTTCCTCAAAATGTTAAATATAGTTATCATTTGATCCTAAATATATACCCAACAGAAATAAAAACAAATACCCTCGCAAAATATGTACATGAATGCTCACAGCAGTATATAGCCCCAAAGAGTCACTGACCCAACTGTCCATCCAGTGATAGTGGATAAGCAAAATGTGGTATAGCCATTCATGGGGTAGTATTTAGCCATAAAAAGGAAGGGGCCAGTGCAATGACACATGCCTATAATTCCAGTGAATTGGGAGGCTGAGGCAGGAGATCACAAGTTCGAAGCAAGCCTCAACAACTTAACAATGCCCTAAGCAACTTAGTGAGACCCTGTTTCAAAAAAAAAAAAAAAGGGGGGGGGGGTTGTGGATGTGGCTCAGTGATTAAGTAAGTACCTGGTTCAATCCCCAGTACCAAAAAAAAAAAAAAGAAGGAGGGGAACACCAATACATACTATACTATGGTGAACCTTGAAGATATTATTCTATGGGAAAGAAGCCAGTCACAAAAGGACACATAATATATCATTCTATTTGTATGATCTGTCTAGAACAGACACATTCCTAAAGACAGAAGGCAGATTAGTGGTAGCTATGGTCTGAAGGTAGGGGAGAATGAAGAATGTCTACTAATGGGCATCAGGTTTCTTTTCAGGATGATAGATAAAAAGGTTCTAAACATTAGATAGTGGTGTTGGTTGCATATAACTCTTTGTCTACACCAAAAATGACTACATTGGATACTTTGAAAAGTAAATTTTACCTGTGTGAATTATATTTCAATAAAGATATTAATTTTTTTTACTGGAAGTTTTACTAAGAAATTAAGTAAAATAAATCCAAATTTATATTTCATGTTTCACTGGTTTTGTAGGTAAATTTACTCCAAATGGACAACTTTCTTTGAATGCAGTTGATTGTATCAGTTGTTTATACACAAACCTACAATGTATACATTCTGTATATACTGATTGTAGATCTCAAATATCTTTGTTTAAAAAAATATTTTTTAGTTGTAGATGGACACAATGCTTTTGTTTTGCCTTATTTATTTTTATATGGTGCTGAGGATCAAACCCAGTGCCTCATACTTGGGAGGCAAGCACTCTGCCACTGAACCACAATCCCAGCCCCTCAAATATATCTTTAAAAAAAATTTTTTTTAGTTGTAGATGAACAATACCTTTATTTCATTTATTTTTTTTAAGTGGTGCTAAGGATAGAACTCAGTGCCTTACACATACTCTACCACTAATCCACAACCCCAGTCCTCAAATATATCTTTAATGGGTTCAAACTTATCATTACTCGTGGTTTTCTCCTGACATTTGCATCATCTAAATGATTCTATATTACAAATGTATTTCTTTTCTCTCTCTCTCTCTCTTTTTTTTTTTTTTTTTTGTGGGGGGTGGGGAGGTACCAGGGATTGAATTCAGAGCACTTGGCCACTGAGCCACATCCCCAGCCCTATTTTACATTTTATTTAGAGGCAGAGTCTCACTGAGTTGCTTAGAGCCTTGCTTTTGCTGAGGTTGGCTTTGAATTCGTGATCCACCTGCCTCAGCTTCCCAAGCCGCTGGGATTACAGGTGTGAGCCACTGTGCCTGGGTAAAAATGTATTTGTAATACATTCTGCCTTATCATACCTGAACTTTCAATTATTTTTTCTAGTATTTTCATAATCAAATACAATACTTTAAAAAACTTTGAGAGCTCATACTTCCATTGAAGAGGGATGGCTCAGTCATCTTTGCTCCATACTTGAAAAACATTTTCATTATTAAACTTATAATCACCACCGGATGTGATGGCATCTGCCGGTATTCCCAGATAGTCAGGAGGCTGAGGCGAGTTCAAAGCCAGTCTCAGCAACTTATGGAGGAATTAAGAAACTCAGGGAGACCCTGTCTCTAAATAGAATACAAAAAAGGGTTGGGGATGTGGCTCAGTGGTTAAGGGCCCCTGGGTTCAATCCCTGGTAAAAAAAAAAAAAAAAAAAAAAAATGAAATCATTAATATGATCAACCCAATAAAATGTTTCATTTCCACATAATCTATTTTTTCTTAATCATTTTTGGTTTTGCCTTTGACTTTAGCATTTGTCTGGTTACAAACAACATTGAATAAATTTTGATGTGCAAATATCATAAAAGAAAAAAATATGTCACAAGACATTTTAGCAAACAGGATGTTTCAGATTCTCATTATAAAATATTATGGGATGAGATCCTTTTCAGATAACATATTTTTAATTATTAAAGATGTATTGTTTACTCATTGATTCTTGAATTTGAGAAAATTCATCTAAGATATAGTCATCTGAAGACTCACCGTCTGAGATTTTAGTTACATAATCAATTTCTCCATCATTATTAGTGCCCAGAGAGCTGACATATATCTCTTTGCATTCAACTTCTGATTCATCTAAGAATTGTGAAATATCTTCCTCTGTCAGTTTTCTTCTTGCCATTATGAAGAGAAAATGAAAAATTCTGAATTCTCAATTGTATTCAAAACTAAAAGAGGACAAAACAACTACAAAGATGGGGGTCTCTACAGACTTCTTTTGTATCTTCTTAGAAACTGATGTGACAGAAGGGCACAGTGGTATATTCCCATAATCCCAGCTACTCAGGTGGGCTGATGCAGGAGGATCTCAAGATCAAGGTCAGCCTAGGCAAATTAGTGAGACCTTGTCTCACAATAATTAAAAAATACAAAGTTCTGAGAATAGTTCAGTAGTGGAGAGTTTACCTAGCATGCTGAGTTTGACACCCAGCACTGCAAAAGAAGAAAGGAAAAAAGAAAAAAAAACAACAATGATGTAATACTTCAGACAATAGGACAACTGAAGAACAGCATAATAGTAATGATTTATTTCAACACTGCACCATCTTTCCGTGTAACTTCATCATTATTCCATTTTTAAAAAATTTTAAATCGCCAACATAATGTGGAATACTTGATGAATGACAATGGAATTATTACTGTGATGATGAAATAGCAATCTGTTTCAAGATATGGGAAAAATAAGATCACACAGAGTTCACAGTCTATTTTTAATTTGTAAAAGGGTTCAATGAGCTGATAGGGTCAAAGATAATATGAGTTCTCTTTTCTTTTTTATTTTATTTTATTTTTTTTTGGTAAATTTCTCTTTGTTTGGAAGACCTTTATGAAAGAATAAAAGTTATGAATACCAATCATCACAAATAGTAGCAATTATTCAAAAAGAAATTTAAAAATTTAAACTGGTTTTCATGGACCCTGATGGTATACATTGACAAATAAACAAAACCCTATTTATTCAATTATTGACCTTGTGGCCTTACTGCAGGTAAGCGTAAAATTCAATTAAGCTTTTGAAGTTCTTAAAATGGCTTAAAGAACCATCACTATGGTCATGATCCTGTCTCTTTGTCTGCAGACTGTGTAGTTCAGGAACCTGAGCTGGGAAGCACTGGACTAGATGATCTCTATACTCTTGTGACTAAAACTCATTAAAATAATATTGATTGGTGTTTTTCCATTAAAAAAATAATAAATTTTATCACAAAGAAAATACTATTCATTTCTATAATTTCCCCTGAAAATACTATAACTTTTAAAGATATCACAATATGAACTATTATTTTATGCCTATGCCCTCTGTTCTTTGAAAGATCTCAATTCCCTGATCCATCAGCCAATGATTATCAGAAAGTCTTGCAATCTCCCACCCTAATTGTTTGTACTAGTCTCTAGTGACTTAGTTCTCGACATTAGTCTATAAATCTCTCTTTCCTAATGCCCCCAGGTGGTAAATAAAAGGGGGAAGACTGGTGGAGGTACAGTCATACAACACTTCATCTGGAAAATGGTTCCCTTGGAGAATTGGGTACTTCTGTTCTGTCTGGATAATCGTTTTTATTCCATAGTATGTATTTTATATGTGTGTTTTTATATACAGCAATCCCCCCACCACCACCATACATAGTTTTGCCTCCTATGGTTTCTGTTACTGGTTTCAGTCAAACTGATCTGAAAATATTAAATGGAAAATTCCAGAAATAAACAAATCATGTTTTAAAGTGCACGTTGCTCAGTAGCATGATGAAATCTCATGCAGTCTAGCTCCATCCCACTCAGGACATGAATCACAGCTTTGTCTAGGATACCCATACTCCATATGCTACCTGTCCATTAATCACTTAGTAGCCATATCCATTATCAATTATAGTACCAGTGTTTGTATATAGGTTTAGGTACTATCTGTGGTTTTAGGCATCCACTGGGGGTCTTAAAAAATACCCAACACCAGTAAGGAGGGGATTGCTGTGTGTATACATATATAAACCTAGATATATACATATGAGTAAGTATATTGTAAAAGCATAGATATGAATGTCTATATTTTATTTTAAAAACCTTTATTTTCAATCAATATTTTTTTAGTTATCAATGAACCTTTATTTTACTTATTTATATGCAGTGCTGACAAACAAACCTAGTGCCTCACACATGCTAAGCAAGCACTCTACCACTGAAATACAACTCTAGCCCCTAGCCCTTGAATCAGTATTTTTCAAACACATTACATCAGGAATGACAGGTAAACATGAGGATTTCAAGGAGAATTTACTTGTATCAATTTAAAAATTCTATAAAAGTTTTCTCCTAAAAGAAACAAAGCAAATGATTCTACATAGATTTATATTTTATTGCATAGTTAACAACAAAAAAGTACCCCTTGATCCAGGGGTACAAGCCAACTACTCCCACACTATATTATGTTCTTAATTAAACCCTGTTTAAAAGACTCACATAAATGCTTGAATGAATTTGATACCTTTTTAAATGAGACATGTGCTTAAATGACAACATTAAATTAAGCAAATCTGTCCCATAATCTAGAGAAAAGACTAATTTCAAGAGGACTAAAGTATACCCTGACCTATCATTTTTTCTATTAAGAATATTTATTTAGTTCATTTAATCTTTATTAAATCTAAAAAATGAGAGCTTTAATTTCATTTTTAAACAGAGACAAAAGCATGCAATATAATCATGAAAGAAAAAAAGTTAAGTAGTTTTGAGGAAAAATATTTCTTATCAAACCATTAAGTAACTTCAAGCAATATATTTTGAAAATTAAGTGATCTTGCCTAACATGCTTATTATGATCACATATAAGATCACCATAAGACTTCCTTTTTGACTCTTAGTCAATTCTGTCTTTCAGAGAGAGAAAAATGGAATGCATTTTCAATACTAATGGAATGAGATGATATCACATGAGTGTCTCATGGTTTAATGATGTTGTTTCGAGAACTCAAAGATGTATTGATTTCTCTAATTTCGACAACTAAGGGCAGAAACTGAAAATCAATATAGTTCTACTGTGCTAAATAACTACTCAGGAGTGGGTTCATGTTCTCTAAAACTACTTCCCACCTCCATTGTGAAACTGTTGAGCCTTTTCCTCTCTGCCCTTAGCATTAGCAATGAATACATAATTTTATTTTTCTACCATATCAGACACATAAATGATAAGCCAAAAATCAAGGATTTTCAATTTTTAACCTAAATATTAAATAATTAGAGATACGAATAAAAACAATAGTAATCATAGCATTATATACCTGAGCAAAAAACTATAAGTAACCTTATATCTAACAAAAGTGAATTATTTACAATTAATAATGCTATATCCACACAATGTAATAACAAATAGTTACTAAAACTTGTACTTTCCACTAGGTGCAGTGGTGCACACCTGTGATCCCAGCTACTTGGGAGGCTGAGGCAGAAGGATCACAAGTTTGAGGCCAGTCTCAGCAACTGAGAGGTACCAAATCTCAAAATAATAAAGAGATAGGAGTGTAGCTCAGGGATAAAGTGTTCCTGAGTTTAATCCCCAGTACAGCAAAAAGAAAAAAACATCTTGTACCTTGAGTTTTTGAGAATAAAAAGGACATGAGAAAATGCTAATGTTACTGGGTAAAAAGCAGAAGGAAAGTATATAACACAATTTTATAAAGAAAAAATATAGAACATACAATAAAATATTAATAGTTGTTCTGTATAGGCCTGGGTAATTTTCATCTTTTAAAAGTTTTTTGGTTTTCATAATTTTCACTGAACATATACAACTTCTATTGTAAGAAGTATTTTAAAAAATAACATATGAAGCCAGGTAGTGGTGCGCATGCCTGTAATACTAGTGACACTGACACAGGAGGATGGAAAGTTCAAAGTCAGCCTCAGCAACTTAGTGAAGCCCTAAGGCAATTCAGTGAGACCCTGTGTCAAAATAAAATATAAAAAGGGCTGGGGATGTGGCTCAGTAGTTAAGCTCCCCTGGGTTCAATACCCAGTATCAAAAAATAAATAAATAAAATTAAAAAATGTACAAAATATCTTTTCTTTCAAATCAACCATGGTTGTTAATCTCCAAGCAAATCAAATAAACTTTCATTAAATGATCACATATTTTATACTTAGACATTGTTTATCCACAGTCATTAAATCACAACATGAAACAGACTCATACGCACCTTGTTTTTCTTCAGGTGTTTCAATAAAATAAGGCATTCTTTTCATTGTTTCTCTCAATTCCTGTTTCAAGGCCAGCATATAATCTTCCCCTTCTCCTGTTTTCAGTGGCACTGGTTTATAATCTGTATCCTGTTTTAATTAGGAAACAAAGGTGTTTTTAGTAAGTAAAATCTCTTTTAACATCTCTTTCATCTACATTCTAGAGAATGTCAATTTTATTGAATTTTACAGGTATGTGTTTTATAGGCAATAACTTTTGCAATTAAAAGATGTTGAGCTTCCATAATCTATTTATCTTTTAGCCATTCCTACTTTATTCTTATTTTAGAGGTATGAAAGAAGCATAATTTTTTTAAATTGACCCTAAAAATTACACTGAAAATCATTTTGTTATATTGTCTATCAAACAATGTGATTCCATAGCTTAAAAATCAAGGCACCCATATGGGAGAAACTGCTCTAGTTTCTATTAATCTCAACTATTGATGATGTAATTGGTGGGAGCAATAGCATAAGAATACATATATAAATAATAGCAATTATCATTTAACAAGTAGTTATTATAAACAGGGTCATCTCAATATTCATCATTCAGTCGAGTGTGGTGGTGCATGCCTGTAATTCCAGTGACTTGGGAGGCTGAGGCAGGATGATTTCAAGTTCAAATCCAGCCTCAGCAACTTAGCAAGGCCCTACGCCAACTTAGTGAGACCCTGTATCAATATAAAAAAGAAAAAGGGGTGGGGACGTAGCTCAATGGTAAAGCACCCATCGGTTCTATCCCTACTACCAAAAAAAATTAAAAAATAAAAAATAATACAAAAATTCAACATTCATTCTCTCAAACTATTACAAGTATTTCCTCTTGTACAATGAAAAAATGAAGAAATAGTTTTGAAGCCCATATAATGAGTACATGGCAAAAGAGGAGTTTGAAGACACATTTTGATTTTTAAATATCCCACGTACACATAGACACACATGCACATATATGTGTAGGTATATCTAATTAGACATATAGATTAATTGAAAAGCGAGTTCCCAGAATACATGGCAAAGACATTTTTTTTATTTCAGAGAATAAGGATACAGTACATATGTTTGATTTGGAATGCATTCATTCATTCATTCTACAACTATTTCATGAATACCTAATATAAACCAGACATGGTTAGAAAATAGATGATACAACGAGGAAGTAGTGAAAGCCCCTGCCCAAATGGAATTTATATTCCAGGGAAGAAACACACAATAAGCAAGTAATACAATGAGGTGAGATACAATTTCAGTTAGTGATTAATGACAAATACATGAAGGAAGTCAGAGGAAAGATGACAAGAGTGCATAAAGGTTAGAGATGGTTGATCTACACGAGGAAGCATGCATGGCCTCTTGGAGAAGTCACATTAGAGTAGAGATATGGATAAGATCAGCAAGCCATTCATGCAAAGATTGGAGAACAGACATTCCATACAGGGAACCAGCAGGGACAAAGACATCAGAGAGCAAGAAGGCCAGAATAGATAACAGAATGAGAAAGAGTGGTAGGAGGGGGTTGGAAAGATATGAGAAAAGCCAGACAGGCAGAGCCTTTGAATCAACATCAAGGAATTTTAAGTTTACTTTGAGTATAAAACACCATCAAGTACTAACATTCCTTGTATTTAGAAGTAATCTTTTCACACATGGAACAGAGCTTCTTTGTTTGTTTGACTGATTGAGGTACTGGGGATTGACCCTAGATGCTCTACCAATTAGCTACAGTTCCATTCCTTTTAATTTTTTTACTGAGACAGGGTCTCCCTATGTTTCCCAGGCCAACCTTGAACTTATTTATTATGTTTCTCCTGCCTGAGACTTGAGTCACTGGGATAATAGGCATGCACTATCATACCCAGCTAAGAAGAGCTTCTTTTAAAAGAAACCCCTGTTAAAGGGACATTATGCCTATACCTAAGATATTCCTAAGATATTTGTCTTATGAATTTAGGCTATACTCACTATCAAAAAGACAAAATATCAAGAGCAAAAAGCATAGACTCCTTATGTGAGCATCTAGATCCCCAGATACTTTTGTACAGGACCCTCTCCTGACATAAATCCTCTAATAAAGGGTTTTTCCACTAGAAATTGGAAAAGATTCATGAAGCAAAGGGCATGTGGTTAATTATGGATTCTACCTTTTAAACCACAGCACATTCACATCTGGAAATATGAGCTTATATTTTAAGCTAAATATAAAGTTAAAACACTAGACACGAAGCCAGTTAAGCTTGCAACATAAGCACTAAATTTAAAAGGAACACTAACATACATATTTACAGAAACTAGTAAAACAGGAAAACAACAAACACCACCATCAAAAAGAAAAGTTCAGTGGGAAGAAAAGGACAAATGGTATACTAAGGAGCAAAATTACATTCTATAAATACAAGAAATAAAGAAAATTGTTAGATGAAAGCATCGTAGAATGAAAACCATTGTAAAACCTGACATTTTAAAATATTATTTTGATAATTAAAATACATCAATAATAAAAATAGAAGATACAAAAATTAGAAAATAATTATTTCTTGGTTCACAAAGTACTTAGCATATTGACAGAATTAAATATACAGTTTTGTTTTCACTATTTTAAGAAAGCAACATAAACTGGGCATGATGATGTGTGTCTATAATCCCAGTGACTAGGGAGACTGAAGCAGGAAAATCACAAGTTCAAAGCCAGCCAACAACTTAGGAAGACCCTTAGCAACTTAGTGAGATCCTGACTCAAAATAATAATGTGAAGGGGGAAAAAAAAGGTTTTAACTCGGTGGCAAAGTACCTTGGGTTCAATCCCCAGTATCAAAAAACAAAAACAAAAAAGATTTAAAAAAGCAACTGGGGGCTAGGGTTGTAGCTCAGTGGTATAGCATTTGCCTAGCATGCATGGGTACTGGGTTCAATCCTCAGCACCACATAAAAATAAATAAATAAAATAAAGTTATCTTGTCCATCTACAACAAAAAGCAATTGGAAAATTAGAAAAGGTTTAGGGAAGAACAAATGAATAGCTAAATTAAAGGTAAGTAAAACACACTATTTTACTTTCTTATACTTGAGGATATCTTAATGCTATTATATATTCAAACCCTAACAGAATTTTAATTTTCTCTGAAACATGAAAAAATACACATTGAGAATTCAACTATAAGGTACTTACAGGAAATAGTGGAGGTGGTTTCAACACTACATCAGGTAACTTTTCACCTCTGCTAAATCCAACAGCCTCAATATTAAAGGTATAGGCAGCACGACCTCTTCCTTTATTCCCAGCCATCAGAACTAGTTATGCTACAAGAATGCCAAGCTAAAAGACACAATTAATGGTTAAGATTTACCAGATCATAGCAAAAAAAAAAAAAAGAAAGAAGCCAACATTTTAAAGCAAAATGCAACAGAACTCCACCCCTATACAGTATGGCTGATTTTTTAAAAATTAGCAAATCTGTAGAAAAACAAATATGCAAAACTGATGGTTGAACCCTTCATGTCCAGTTACATTTTTCAGGTTAGATGATGATGGCCTCAATTCCAGCACCCAAGTCCTGAATGTCCTATGCATACTCTGGGTCTGCACAACCCATCAATGCAATTCTGTCTCTGTGGTTTGGCAACAGATTCTCAGATACATGTAAAAAGTGGAGACAAGAAAAGTTTGGGCTGATGAGGAGAAGGTCTCTTGTTTTTATCCTATCCACTTGAAGACTATTTCCATGGTATGGATATGGAATGTCCCCCAAAACCTCATGCATCAAAGGCTTGGTCCCCAATGCAGCAATGTCCAGTGAGGCTTTGGGAAAGGGATTGGCTCTGACCCCATCAATGGATTAATCCACTGAGAGCTGAATGGACACTTATAGGCAAGTGGGGCATGATTAGAGGAAGTAGGGCACTGGGGGCATGGCCTTGGGATTCTTGTCTCTGCCCACCTACTCTCTGCTTTGTGGCTACCATGACCTGAGCAGCTTTCCTCCACCATTCCCTTCTGCCATAATGTTCTGTCTCAACTCAGGTCCCAAGTAATGGAGCCTTCCAAACAATCATGGATTGAAACCTCCAAAATCATGAGCCAAAATTAATCTTTCCTCTTCTAAGTTGTTCTTGTCAGGTGTCTGGGGCCACAGTGAGGAAAAGCTAATAACAAAATTGGTACCAAGAACTGGGGTTAATCATTGCTGTGAGGATCCTGACCATGTGGTTCAGAAACCTGTAGAGATAGTTTGTGAGAAGATTTTGGAAATGTTTAGAGATGCAGGCTAAAGAAGCCTTATGGTGTTGTAAGCCAAGTTTAATGATGATGCTGGTGTGGGCTCAGAAGACCAGAATACTGATATGAATAGAGACAATAAAGAGTGTGCTCCTGAGGTTCCAGAGGGGAATAAGGACTCTTCTGGGAACTGGATTAGAGGCCACTCATGTACATTCTGGTAAAGAACTTATCAACATTTTTTTCCATATCCTGAGGTTTTATGTGAGGCTGGGTTTAAAGGTGATGAACTAGTTTATCTGGTGGAGGAAATTTCAATTCAGACAGTAGCATTTGTATTGCTGGGTACTTTTAGCCAGGTTTACTGTGGTAATCACAAGCAGAAAGCAGAGAAGAAACATTCGAAAAACTTGCATTTTAGCTAGAAAAGCCCATGTAAAATTTGGTTCAAGGAAGTTATGGTTGCTGAAGACATTAGTGCCACTGAAGAGAAACCAACTACTTTGCCTGGAGACAACAGGAAAGTGGCCTTGATGGCATCTTAAGAATCAGCAAGTCCCACTCATCCCAGACTCATGTATATAAAAGTGAAAATTTGTTTGAAAGACTTTGCTTTGAGAAGTGATGGCAGGAGTACCCTGCTCCCATAGGACTGCCTAAAAAGTTGTTTTCCCAGGATTAGTTTCATCATTGTCAGTTGCCGTGGCACCCAGAGGCTACTGCTGCTATGATCCAAGGGGTCCACTACTGCTTGAGCTAGTGGCACACCTGGTGTTGTCCATGTGGTGCTAGTGTTGTAGGCATGAAGGAATGAAAGAATAATGGAGGCTTGAATCGAGATTTCAAAGGAAGGCCTATAAGGACAGGCAATGTGTCCCAGGGTCAGACTCATTGAGTGTAGCTCCTGGGAGGGCAATGCATGAAACCATGAGAGTTAAGCCAAAGTTAGAATGAAAATCCCAGCAAATTAGAAGTTACAAACACTTGGTGTTTTAAATTTGTATCTGTGTTTTTAAAAACCCTCTAAGTACTGGGCAGGGGGATGTCCACCTGTAATCCCAGCAGCTCTGGAGGCTGAGGCAAGAGGATCCTGAGTTCAAAGCCAGCCTCAGCAAAAGTGAGGTGCTAAACAACTCAGTGAGATCCTTTCTCTAAATAAAATATGAAATAGAGTTTGTGATGTGGCTCAGTGGTTGAGTGCCCCTGAGTTCAATTCTCTGTACCCTCCCCCTCCAAAAAAAAAAAACCCCTCTAGGTAGTTCTTATGCATACTAAAGTTCATGAATCACTGAACTGAAATAATCAAATCATGACCTCTTGGGGCAAGAATAGCTTCAAAAGTTTTCTAGGCAATTCTAACACATAGGAAAACTGCTATGTGAAAACTTCTCTGGTAGAAGTCTTAGCTAGTAAGTAGTAGCAAAGTTAAAATATACCTGTAGGATCACTTACTTTATAGGTTCCATCTTTGAAATTGAAATCATACAGATTATCTAGATTTAAAGAAATGATCTTAAAAGTGAAATAACCAACTGCTGTAAATCTAATAGAATTCAGAATGTGATGCCTGACTTTTTAACACATTGGCAAGGGAACAGCAATACCAAGGTGTTAAGCCTTAGATATGAGGTGTCCCCCAAAAGCTCATGTGTGAGTCAATGCCAGAAAGTTTAGAGATGACAGGGTTATAAAAGGCTTAACCTAATCAGTGCATTAATTCCTCAATAGAGACTAAGTGTTAACTGTAGGCATGTAGGATGTGGCTGGCGAAGGTGGGTCCCTGGGTGGGGTGGGGGGCATGCCTTTGAGTTTTATAGTTTGTCCATGGTAAGAACTTTCTCTATCCCTTTCTGCTTCCTGATGTGATGTCCTGAGCCACTTTCCTCTGCCACGCCCTTGTGCCATGATGTGCTGCCTCACCTTGAGTCACAGGGAAGGGAATCGGCCATCTATTAACTTGGACCTCTGATACCAAGAGCCCCCAAATAAACTTTGCCTCCTCTAATTGTTCTTGTCAGGTCTTTCTGGTCACAGAAGTGAAAAAGCTGACTAAACACAATGAGCTGCACTCAATGTCCTCATACATTTAAGGGTCCAACTACTCAAAATCAAGACATATATTCAATATCCTTCTCTGACGAAATCTTGTTTCTTCTTTTCTGAGAATTACTCAAGTAGGATGGCATTTGGTTTGATATGATGGATGTGATAGTGAGAACATTTTCAGATATAATTTTCCATTGTAGATTTTCTAAACTCATTCTTAATGCCTCCATATTTGAGAGTTTTCCTTCATAATTGCTTAAATATTAAATGATTTTATCTTTGCTATTCTATTGTAAAGTACAACTCCATGCCTTTTTACTTAATTTTACCATACTATGAATACACATATAAATAGGAAAGAGTGCAATAAACTCCCAAGTACCTACCTGTTATAATTTGGATCTGAAATGTCCCCCAAAGGCTCATGTATTGAAGGTATCCAATATTCAGAGATAAGGCTTTTGAGAAGTGGTTGGATTATAAAGGCTCTAACCTCATCAAAGGATAATCTATTGAAGAATTTATAGCTGAATGGACTATTGGGAGATGGTGGAGACTGTAGGAGGTGGGATCTAGTTGAAAGGAGTAAGTCCTTGGGGATATGCCCTTGGGAACTCTATCTTGTCCCCAGGCTCTTCCTCTCTCTTCCTGCTTCCTAGCTTCCATAAGGTAAGCAGCTATGCTCTACCACATCCTCCCACTAGGATGCTCTGCCTTACCACAGTCTCAGAATCAATGGTATCACTTGTTGCCACTGGACTGAAACCTATGAAACCATGGGCCAAAATAAAATTTTCCTCCTTTAAAGTTTTTTTTTTAGGTATTCAGTCACCATGACAAAAAGATGACTAATATACCATATCACTCAACTTCAACAATTAATAATGACTAATTTTCATACTCTTCCATTCCCATGAATCAAATTTTTTTAAAACTCTTCATTATGCATCTTCTCTGAGGTAAAGGCTTTTAAAATAATATCATGTAAAATTTTATAATAATTCCTTACTATCCTCTTATATACAATCAGTATTTAAATTTCCTGTTATCAAATAAATGTTTTTATAGTTACTGTATGTCAAGATACAAAACATCCACCATGACAATCGATGAACACATCTTTTAAATTTACTATCAACAGTTAAGAGTTCCTGTCCCTTTTTTAAAAAAGAAATATTTTTTAGTTGTAGTTGGACACAATAACTTTATTTTATTTATTTATTTTTATGTGGTGCTGATGATCGAACCCAGAGCCTCGCATGTGCTAGGCAAGAGATCTACGCTAAGCCCGTTTCTGTCCCTTTTTATCCTTACCATTTATTTATGGAAGAAATGAAGTCATTGTCCTGTATGATGCTTCTCAAACTTGATACAAGCAAATTATTTAGGAGTCTTGTTAAAATGTGGATTCTCGTTCAGTTGGCCTGATAATTTGCATTTTCACCAAAATCTCACAGAGATATCAATGTTGCTGGTTTATGGACTACAATTTGCGAATAGTGACAACTTCCCTTATTCTAGATTTGAAAGATTGCATACTAGAGATATGGCTTAATGTACTCCTCTATTCACAGGATTTCCAATAAACAGTAGACTAAATGCTTACTCAGAGTCTTTTTTTCTTCCTTAAGAACACTTAAAACTAAATGTCTCTATTTAGTTTTCCTACTGCATTGCACCAAGCTGCACATGAAGTCTTTTTTGGTTATGACTAAGGTGGTTAGTGGGTCAGGTACTATTGATGTGTTTCATTTACTATAAGGTGGCTTGTGGTGAGCCGCTTCTGCTGTTTCTGCAGACTATGGTCGCCATTAGTAGATGGCGCCGGCTTCCACTGTGGTCTGTGACAAACAACTCCTTATCTAGGAGAGTTGGCACATGATTTTTCACCACCCTGTGAGAAAGCTCCACGCGGCAGCTTTGCATTGGGGCTTGGGATGCTTTATTAAGGCTGGGAGGGGCATCCGAGAGTGAGAAGAAGAAATATCAAGGGCCTGAATAAACTGCTGAAAGAAGATTCCTGA